CAGACTCTCCAGAACAAATTAAAGACGAAAACTGAGGTTCCACTGTATTTGATAAACTCCTGGAGATTCACTCTTTTTTTTGACCTAGAAGGGAGGGGTTGTAAATTTTCAATGCCTGTATAAAATAATTAGAGATCAGCCGATGCACTCTTGCCAGTAAATCTTAGATTATACAGCCCCGTGGCCTAGTGACAAAAGTTCTCACTTTACACAGTGAGGGGTCCAGGTTTGATTCCTGGCAAAGGGGTGGAAACATCGGACATGTTTCCTTACACCAGTAGTCAATGTTCACCCATCAGTAAAATGGGCACCTGGGTGTTAGTTGACTGGTGTGGGTTACATCCTGGAACAAAACTGACCTAATTTGAAGGAAATGCTCTGCATAACAAGCAGCTTTGTATACAGTGGCACCTTGACTTTCGAGTTTAATTCGTTCCGTGACCTAGCTCGTAACTCAATTTGCTCAAATATCAAATCAGTTTTCCTCACTGAAATTAATTAAAATGCCATTAATCTATTCCAGCCCCCCAAAAAACACCCAAATTTTTTTTGTTACTGGTTTTTAAATAAAAATGTATTTATAAATAAGAAATGATTTTTGCCTTTTTTGCCAGGTCCCAGCAATGTTTTAGAAATGCTGGAGTATATATGAAACTCCTTGAAGCACAGTGTGAGATGAGTGTCACTCCACTGCTGACAGTGCAGCAGTGGAGTGATGTTTGATGATCATGCACTGCCTTGGCTTTATTTTTCACTGTTACACATAAACATGTCTGTCTATTTGTTTCTGTCTATCTGTCTGTTTCTATCTGTCTATTTGTTTGTCTAGCTGTGTCTGTGTTTATCTGTCTCTGCTTATCTGTCTTTCTGTCTGCCTTTGTTTCTGTCTTCCTGTCTCTCTGTCTCAGAGAGAGAGCCACTCATGAACCAACAGGTATTATACACCATGCAGTCATCACGTCTGATTCCTGAACAAGTGAAAATGCGTAATACTTGCCAGTCATGCCTTATATCTATGAACATAGTATAGCACTTTGTCTGGATGTTTTGGGTTATCCTAGGTAATTTACACTATGTATAACTATTTATGTGTACCTGTGAGATAGAGACAGAGATAGAGAGAGAGAGAGATAGGCAGAGACAGAGATAGGCAGAGACAGAGATAGATACAGACAGACAGAAGGAGATAGAGACAGCCAAAGCAAATCAGCCAGTCAGCCAGCCGCCGGCCAGCCAGCCACAGGCCAGCCAGCCACTGGCCAGCCAGCCGGCCAGCCAGCTGTCCACCCATCTAGCTGGCCTGCTGAACATGTACTAAAAATGCATGTTCCAGAATTGTTTCTCTATACTTAGGGCATACATTATAGAACATTCTGGCAGGATGACACTACCAGCGGTATCAAAATTGAAAGGATGTTACACATTGGTTATTATTGAGGTTTTTGACATTTCCTTGGTATATCCTACCAGTGGCAGCATATCTGAAGCTTGCTTGTAACTCAGATTTTGGTTTGCAACTCAAAGCAAAAAATTGACTGAGCAAAGGCTCATAACTCGGAAAACTTGTAAGATTGGTGGAAAACTCGTAAGTTGGGGCACTCGTAAGTCAAGGTACCACTGTAGTAGTATGTCATTGATGTCAGCTAGACCTGTATACCTTGTACATGTACTTGTAGTAAATAATGATACAGTATTATTATTATTATTATTATTATTATTATTATTATTATTATTATTATTACTGCTATTTATTCACTTATTTAATTGCTTCTTTCTTTTCACTGTTTGGGGCTTTTCCTTCTCGTTGGTTTTCCTCACATGTATAAGTTGATTCACACTGGTAGTGTGTGCAACTATTCATCATTGGTTTTCTTTCCTGGTGATGACCATATTTCAACTTACACTACCTTCCTGCTCATGTTGTCCTTAATGTTCTTTTCTTTAAACTTGTTTTTATGTTTATTTACATATAGCACACACAGGTATATACAACATTCAGTCACCTCATTGTTAGTAATGTTGTACGTTGATATTTTTTACTGGCAGCTATACAAGAGGCCTGAATGCCTTGGGAAAGGGAATGTATTCCTTATTTCCTCTTATCTCACTTTAAATTGTCTATTTCTCCTTTTATATTTTCAGAAGTGTAATTCCTGCTTTGTTTTAGCTCTTTACTAGCACTGTTTTACTTTTCTCATTATTTTATATAGTGACTCCCTTGTTGACAGGCAACTATATCCTCATGGCACCTAATTTCTCATGACTGATTGTATCCTCCCTTTTTTACTCTTCTTTGGCTCCACAACCATTGACACACTGGTGGCCATCTGTCTACTCACAGTCCTAGTGCATCCCCACTGGTTACTCCTGTCTGGCTTCCTAATTGCTTACACACTGATAGCTGTCACTTAACTGGTATAGTGCACTGGTTATGCCTTGCCGACTCCCCGACTGCTGACACAATGGTGGTGGCTGTCTATCTCTTCACCATCCTTGGGCATCTTCACTGGTTACTCCTTGTTATTCCCCCAACTGCTTATGAACCTATGGCTGTCTATCTTCTCACTAGCCTAGTGTATCTTCATTGGTTATACCTTTCATACTCACATAGGCTGGTTGCCATTTTATTCATTAGGGTTAACAATCTTGATGTGGGTCTTTGCCATCAGATGACCTGTTCAGTGGTGCCTACCATATGGTGTACATGCTGCAAGACTGTGTGTCTAAAAAACACCTGAAGGTGGGGTATCTGAGTAACCTTATGACTTACAAGTGCTTGGCTCAATCATCTCCAGCCTTATATTTTGTGAATGTTTCAGGAAACATTTCCCAGAGTTGGTATTAGTAGAAGTTTTATTAGATCTCAAAGGGTGTGAAGTGGCATCAGTATTTTTTTTTTTTTAACGCTGGCCGTTTCCCACCGAGGCAGGGTGACCCAAAAAAAAGAAAGAAAAAACTTTCATCATCATTCAACACTTTAACCATCACTCATACATAATCACTGTCTTTGCAGAGGCACTCAGGTACGACAGTTTAAACGTCCCTCCAAACTGCCAAAATCCTAAACCCCTCCTTTAAAGTGCAGGCATTGTACTTCCCATTTCCAGGACTCAAGTCCGGCTAACCGGTTTTCCTGAATCCCTTCACAAAATATTACCATGCTCACATTTCAACAGTTTGTCAGGTTCCAAAAACCATTCATCTCCATTCACTCCTATCTAACACGCTCAAGCACGCTTCCTGGAAGCCCAAGCCCCTTGCCCACAAAGCCTCCTTTACCCCTCTCCCTCCAACCTTTTCAGGGACAACCCCTACCCCATCTCCCTTCCCCAACAGATTGATGCACTCTCTGAGTCATTCTACTTTGTTCCATTCTCTCTAAATGACCAAACCACCTCAACAGCCCTCTTGACTAATACTTTTAGTAACTCCACACCTCCTCCTAATTTCCACATTACAAATTCTCTGCATATATACACTACACATTGCCCTTAGACACGACATCTCCACTGCCTCCAGCCGCCTCCTTCCTGCAGCATTTACAACCCATGCTTCACACTCATATGAGTGATGGTACCACTATGCTATCGTATGTTCCCTTCTTTGCCTCCATGGATAATGTTCTTTGTGTCCACAGATATCTCAATGCACCACTTGTCTTTTTTCCTTCATCAATTCTGTGGTTTACCTCATCCTTCATAAACCCATCCGCTGACAAGTCAACTCCCAAATATCTGAAAACATCACTTCTTCCATACTCCCTCCTTCCAATGTGATATCCAATTTTTCTCTGTCTAAATTGTTTGATACCCTCATCACCTTACTCTTATCTATATCCGCTTTCAACTTTCTACCTTTACACACCCTCCCAAACTCGTCCACTAACCTTTTAAATTTTTTTTTAGAATCCTCCAAAAGCACTGTATCATCAGCAAAAAGTAACTGTGTCATCTCCCATTTTGTATTTGATTTCCCATAATTTAATCCCATCCCTCTCCCCAACACCCTAGCATTTACTTCTTTTACAATCCCATCTATAAATATGTTACAAACCATGGTGACACTGCACGTCCCTGTGTAAGACCTACTTTTACTGCAAAGTAATTTCCCTCTCTCCTTCACACCCTAACCTGAGCCTCACTATCCTCATAAAAACTCTTTACTCTGCCACATTGCTCCCCCTATCCACTCTATCATATGCCTTTTCTAAATCTATAAATGCAGTGGAAACTTCTCTACCTTTATCTAAATACTGTTCACATATATGCTTCAATGTAAACACCTGATCTACACTTCCAATACCCATTCTAAAGCCTCCTTGCTCATCTGCAATCCTGCTCTCTGTCTTACCTCTAATTCTTTCAATAATAACCCTACCATACACTTTACCTAGTATACTCAGTAAACTTATTCAACCATAATTTTTACAATCTCTTTTGTCCCTCTTCCCTTTATATAAAAGAATTATACACGCTCTCTGCCAATCCCTAGGTACCTTCCCCTCTTTCATACATTTATTAAACAAAAATACCAACCACTCCAGCACTGTATCTCCCCCTGCTTTTAATTACATTTCTGTCATGATCCCATCAGTTCCCATCAGTATTGTGTACGATTATTAGATAGTTTCAGCAGCACGTGTGTAATATTTGTAACACTACAATAAAGCTACCAGAGTTAGCTAATTTATGGTACAGTACACTCAAGATTGCTGCTCTGAACAGTCAGGTGTATACTATATTTTAAGCTTCAAAATATACAGTATATCACAGTCTTGTAACTTTACAATAATTTTCAAAGTAATTTTTTTCTTTTTTTTTTAATTGCTGCTTGAGTGTGAGCCGATGGTGTAGAGATGGTTGGTAACCAAAATAATGATGAAGATTATGTAAGCACCATCTTCCAGTGAATGTTAAAAATAGTTTATTCACTACAAATAAAGCAATACAAAGTTTTGTGTAAATTTTCACTTTAATGATATTATTCCTTTCACATTTTAGCAGACAACGAGTGTCAATGATTGAAGCAGGAACAGGTGGTCGCTACTATGACAGTGGACGAGGTGTGCCTTCCTACCTCCTCAAGCCCCAGCATGAGGATTCTAGTGAGTCAGAGAGTTCACATCCACGCAAACCACGACCTCCCTCCTCAGAGCCTCCGTCTGCAGCAAGAGATGTTGTTGCCAGGTTAGATTCCTTATCTGTTAGTGTGTTTTGACCATATGGTATCTTTGTACAGCACTTCTCTCCCTATAAATTTGCAGGAATTACATTCCTAGATGCCCTTCAAAGCTAAAAACTATGAATAATAAAAAAGTTGGTTTACATAACATACAAAAGTTCACATACAAAAATGGCATATATATAAATAATGAGCAGCATTGCATAATATTGAAAATGGGAAAAAATCAAATAATAATTGATTAAAGAGTGAGCTTACACTTCCCTTCCCTTAGTACCTCATAGCACAATGGTAGCACATTAGCCTTTGAATCTAATTCTGGGCATGGCAAACTGTGCAGGCAATTCTGCTGCCACATATTGTCCACCCCAATGTAATTAAGTCACATTGCATAGCTTTCTTGGGTTATTCTGGGGTATTAACCCTCCTAGGTTGCCACTTTGAACGAGCTTTTCTACCTATCATACCAGCTTGGTCTTGTGCACAGACACACCACACTAACTAGATTTGGACAAGCTATAACAAAGCGTTGTCAGGTGATGAATACCTGTATTGATTTCTCATGGGCCCAACCATAAAGAGTTAAAATTCTAAAATACTACAAATTTTAATAACTATTACATGGGTCATCTTAAAGCTGTAGTATAACACCTGGCTATTATATTAAATGATGTTTCATCAAATGTCACAACTGCTTACTAGATAAGTTAATACTCTATTTTATTTTTTCAAAAAAAAAAAAAAAAACAGTCCACATATGTGGCCAATGGTAATGACCCATGCTTGAATACTGTAATCACATAATTATGTTAAAGTGATCCATATTTAACCTCACATTGAATGCATTTGTTGCAGGATACGAAGGTACCGGCCTTTGAGTGCAGATAGTAGTGACAATTATAGAAGGCAGCATCACCAACGGACTGTCTCTCCAGACTGACAGGAACCTCGGCCCTAGTCTTCATCGGCAGGAGGAGGCGTCCAGCTCTCAGGCCTACTCACTTGCAGCTCCTCGCCCACCTCCCAAATACATCATTCACACATCCACAAGCGCACAAATTCCCCCCCAGTCACATGCAATGTCTGTACCCGTGAGCTCAGTCGAACACACTCATACGGCGAATCTTATTTTCAGTATCAGCAACCAGAACAACATATAGTATTAGTAAAAGAAGTTAAATTAAAGCACAGGAAAACAAAAAAATTGTGTGGATGTTGGCAAATGTTTTTAAGAAGAAGAGGTAAAACTTTGCCATTTTCACTGCACAGAAATCAAGAGTTGAGCAGATGCCGTCTAAATCTTTCCAAGCCACCACACATTTAACAGCACAGAAAAATATGCCATATGGTGCTTTTTCTTACTTTTCATTTAAGAGAAAAAACTTCTTTGGAGACCGTTAGTGGTGAAAAGATAAGGTGTGAATATCTTGATGTGTAGGTTGGTGAGAGTGAAGGGAAATAAGCAACTCGATTAGTGATCCACTTTATAGCTGTGGTACAAGAAAGCCTTTTTTTTTTTTTCCAATATGCAACTTCACTGCAGCTGCTACTGCATGCAACAGCTAGCTGAAAGGCACTCAAAGACAAAGAATCTTTGATACTAATTTGATACATTTGGCAGTGTGATAATGGACATCTGGAGCTGCCAGTGACACACACTCGGGATAACATGGCAAAAAGTTATAGGAGCTGTGGACCCTAAGCTGTCAGTGTGGCACATGAGGTAATGTAATTGGGTGGTGGGAGCTGTTATCCTTAAACTGCCAGTGTGAGATTTGGGTCGTGTTAAGGGTGATGGGAGCCAAGTGCCCTCAGTGTCCAGAGTGAAACTCAAGACAGTGCAATGGGGGTGCAGCCTGTTATAACATCACCTGCACATGGTTGTGATATTTGCTATGTACATTCTCTGTACTGACACTTGCTAGGTTAGGTAGTAACTGTGCCATCCTCTGTTGCCATAGTGACTTTCGATAGGTCATTCTGGTTACAAACCCCAGGTCATTAAAGTTATCTTTTAGCTGAGGAAAAAAATGATATTAATGTACATTACAATTTAGATACCATACTTTAAAAGAGGCACCTATGGTCAAACGTGATGTAATATTCTTTAATGTTTTCTTCTGATCTAGGTACCTGTATTCACTTTAAGGGATCTGGATAACTGTTGTAAATTTACTAATGCAGGTTAGCCTTTGATATTGCTGTTAACGAACTATTTTGGGGAATAACTGCAATATTCTAGAGTCTCGGAGTATCTCTTGCATATTGCCCAAATACTCAGTAGCTCTTACACTTTGAAGCTTTGTCATTTTCTCTAAGCTACCATGAATGCTGTAAGTATTCCTGCAGTGCACATACAGTATGCCGATGATGCAGTTTGAATGTTTATTTGTTGAGTCAAGAGTTGGGTTCCATTTTGTCCCCTGTGCCATCACCTGTGTTGCAGGTTTGTTACATCAACATTTCGTCTTCAGTAAAGAAAGTATATTTGTGTATATGCTGGGTTGGAGTTGGCAAGCATAGGTGTGAACAGTTTATTAATAATGCAGGAGAAAAATGGTGTGATTTCCTTGGCTTTTTGATCTTAGCATGATGGAAGTATTTCTAAAATTACCATGTACTTTCACAAGGAAAATGAATGTCTAAAACAGTACCTTCTTGTATTGGATGCAGGAGTTGAATTTAGGTTATGGTCAGTATTTGTTTGTGGTCTCACTTATTTAAGAGATAAGTACAGTACATACTCTCATTACTCTGATCTTTGTTTCTGTAGTACAAACAATAGAATTTTTTTATGGCCTTAATGTGCTAATAATGTAGATCATGAATAAGGATTACTCAGGCCTTAGGTGTATCAGCACTGTAAGTTCTCTAGACTACTGAAAGTTGCCTCTGGGATGTGCTTCCATCAGGAAGTATGTGATGAGATCCTAAAATAATGTATTTGAATATCAATCAAATTTATATAATATTGATTATCTATTTTATTATACCTAAAATGTTTTGTAGTCATTTTATGGTACAAAGTTCACAAATGTATTAGAATTGTCAGAAACCCTGAGAGTGTTTAAAACCTAAACATTTGAAAATAAAACTACTTAGGCTCTTGATATTCAGATGATAAAACAATCTTCATTGTATTAAATGTTCCTTCCTCTTTTACAAGTATTGTAGAATTAAAACTTAATGGTGAGAATGGATGGAAGATTAACTGTTAATGCATGTACGTGGTCATTAAACAGAGGTTTAGAGTGAGAATAAAGTTCATTGAAATTATTGTCCCATATTCACCAAGCTTAGGAACTGTATCTGTGCTGTGACATTTTACTGGAAATGCCTAAGTTTTATACATTGGACATAACAGGTTGAATTATTGCAGATCAATACATGTCACCCTAATAAAGGTGCTTACCAACAATACATTCAAGTGTTTGAGTGAATCAGGTGAAATATAATAGTGATGCATTAGTCATTAAGTATGCAAGTGTCTATTTGAATATATATATATTTATCAGTCCAATGAATACAGCTGATAAGAGATTAGATATTTGTTTAAATGCCTTGATTTTTAAATTAGACTTGTAGATACATATTTTGATTGCTTCTACTTGAATCTCTTTTATTACTCTTCTTTCTATGGGAAGATGTTTTTTAGCAACATTGTAAACTTAAATAAATCATCTCACATGCATATGTGGCTGCAAGGATAATCTCTAGTCAACACTGAAATCAAAAGCAGCTTATATGCAAAGATAAGTACTGTATTAATTTCTGTCATCTCTCTACACTCATCCTCTGACTTCAGGTTTACAAGATAAACCAACTACTTTGCAGACTATTAGTAACTTCCCAGAATTGTTGTTATAGAACTCATGTGCCACAGTGCATATTTTATACAGTATTGATGACTTGCCTGTTATGTATTGTTGAACCTGTGCTTAGTAGGGCTTTGTTTTGTCTCCTGGAGATATACATCAAGGTCTTGTACATTTCCTTGAAAAAAAAAAGCTGAGTCAGAATCCTAAAACTAGTAACTGCTTAAAGAAACTGCATGAACTTTTACTATCTAAGAAAGGTTGAGAAAGCTCATTCTGTTTCTTGATGCATACATTACTTTTAGAAGTTTTTGACCTTCCTGATATCTCCTGGAAGCTTGATAGGGCTTTGTGCACATGTTGAAGGTCAAACAGATATGGAATGAGCCAAGGGAAATGATAGATGAGGGCATAGTGGGATATGGGATGGAGACAGCAAGTGTTCAACCATTATTTATCTTGAGGAGTGCTTGGTGGCGTTCATAACCTCGCGTTCGGGCATTAGTAATGTCACACATGGACTGTTCACAGCCTTTCTGGTCTTAATCAAGCTCTATGAGTTTGTATATGCGCATGTGTGATATGTCTGGCAATTGCAAAGTTAGGAACGTCACTTATAATATGTTCATGCAACTTTTTTATGTTAATGAGCCTTATGTTGATGAATCTATCTGCAGTAGCAAAATAATTTGAATTATACACAGTCTTTAACGAAAATTATGTTTTAATAAATTGGTTGTGAGAGTGCAGTGTAGAGTTTCACCACAATCAGTGATGCTTGTCAGGTGTTTCTTTACCCACACTTCTGTGACTTCCTAAAGTGTTTCCTATCAGTAACAAAATTTACATACTTTTTTTATTCATGTGGTTACTGGCCAGATGTACTATAATGTCCAGATTGTATATTTTTGTTCTGTGTACTTAGATTGTTATTTACAATTAAATTATAGCAATGCCTTCTAATTGTCTATATATACATGACCCCAAACATATTACTACTGTACTATTCATTATACATAAATTCTGTTTGAGTGCTACATATACCTATGTAATAAAAACAAAGTGTAGCAGTCATAAAATACAAGATAAAAGATAAATTTTAGTACAAATTAGAAATCATTTGCAATCAGCACTTCTGCATCCATACCTTTCAAACAGTCCTTTGTTCTAATTTATATTTTTCACTTTCTGTAATACAAACCTGTAGATTTGTGCCAGGTAAAGGAACTAAATTTAGAATGTTGCTTTCAAAGCAGCTAGTTTATTGCACATGCACACCACACCACAGTCAAGGGTAAAAAATATTACAATATTCTTCAACCTATGTAGTCTCTACAAAAAAAAAAAATGATGCTCAATGAAAAGATTGGCAATAATGTTCTGTAAATGCCCTCTGCAATAAGCTTGTTGATGGTCAACTCACGAATGTGAAATTTATATTAATAGGAAAAAGGGAGAATTCATTCCAGACTCCTATATCTCCTATACCCAGACTCGGTAGTATAGTATTGGTTGACCATATTGCATAATTTTATGGGGGCATTTGTCATAGATATTGGTAATGCAACAGACACCTGTATTTTCTATATGTATGTATGTTATATTGTACTAGCATGCCTGTGCACTGGACACTGATTCACACATGGTCATCTGATAGAGGGGTGGCCAGTGCCTCTTCAAGGATTTTCAGTTCATCATAACAGCCTAATGTGTTGATTGATTGTCCTGTTTGCAAATAGTATGACAACTTTATTTTAGGTAGGTGCTTTGTCAACAGAATGACATGCCTATTTTGTTGCTACATCATCTGTAACCCTTGATCTATTTTTACAATGTCCTTCCCTCTGAATTTTCACTTCCCCAGTTCTGTCTCTCTCACTTTTGTCATGCAGTGCTGAATGACCCTTATGGGAGTATTGCTTTCCATTAATATAGAAATAGTGCTACCCCAGTTGATCCTTAATAACAAATATTGAGGTCAACTGTTTAAGGGCAATGTGTGGTGTAAATATTATGCAGAAAATTCGGAGTGTGGAAATTAGGAGAAGGTGTGGAGTTAATAAAAGTATTAGTCAGAGGGCAGAAGAGGGGTTGTTGAGGTGGTTTGGTCATTTAGAGAGAATGGATCAAAGTAGAATGACATGGAAAGCATATAAATCTATAGGGGAAGGAAGGCAGGGTAGGGGTCGTCCTCGAAAGGGTTGGAGAGAGGGGGTAAAGGAGGTTTTGTGGGTAAGGGGCTTGGACTTCCAGCAAGCGTGCGTGAGCGTGTTAGATAGGAGTGAGTGGAGACGAATGGTACTTGGGACCTGACGATCTGTTGGAGTGTGAGCAGGGTAATATTTAGTGAAGGGATTCAGGGAAACCGGTTATTTTCATATAGTCGGACTTGAGTCCTGGAAATGGGAAGTACAATGCCTGCACTTTAAAGGAGGGGTTTGGGATATTGGCAGTTTGGAGGGATATGTTGTGTATCTTTATATGTGTATGCTTCTAGACTGTTGTATTCTGAGCACCTCTGCAAAAACAGTGATAATGTGCGAGTGTGGTGAAAGTGTTGAATGATGATGAAAGTATTTTCTTTTTGGGGATTTTCTTTCTTTTTTGGGTCACCCTGCCTCGGTGGGAGACGGCCGACTTGTTAAAAAAAAAAAAAAAACTAGTGCAGGAATGCATTTTTTTCACACATTCATTGTTTTATACCTTGCCTTTCAAAGGAGTTCCTTGATACTGGTGAAGGGCTCTTTATTCAGGAAATTTGATCCACCCTCCCTGCCCCTCCCAGGCACTGTGTGACCCCATAGGTTTGGTGCTTCCCCTTGATTGTAATAATATAATACCTTAGCAAAGTGTTCTAGAAGCAGAGCATTGCTGGCTGGACAGTATAACTCCAACACATATAGTATCGATTAAAGACAACATTAACTCCAGTTATGTCTTCCAGATTACTATTATGCAATTTAGGCCTCTGAAGGGCTCTTGGTTCAGGGAATTGGGCTTGTCCCCCCCCTTCCTTGTATCGAATCTGATTGCCTCCCATTTCCCAGGCATTGTATGATCCCAGTGGGTTTAACACTTCTACTATGAGTATCATAATAGTATCTAGCAGGAACCAGCCTCTCTCTGACAGCACTCCAGGTGAGGCTTGTGTAAATCTGGCAGCAGAGTCTGTGAAGCCAAAGTGTTCCTTTAGTATGAATAAAATTAATCAACATACAATGTTTTACATTATTTCACATATATTTATTTATTTTTTATTTGGACATGATGTATAGTTGTACAAAGAAATTTAATGATTGGGTGTACATGCCAAAAGCCCCTTGTATGCAGAGCATTATGGGCAGGCTTAAAATTAACTTAAGATTAACTAAGCTATGATATATTCAGTGGTAAAAATTACAGTATACAAATTACAACATGATGTACAAATGAGTATTTCAAATAAGCATTAATGTTGTACAAATTTGTAGCATAACAATGTATAATCCGATCAGATCGAGTAAAATCAATGATTTGTAGTGCAGAGACAGGTCATATGGCCATTAGATGAGTTACTGTGCATTCAAGAGAATGGAGTATTCTATTAGGTAATGTAATTAAAAAAACATAGTTTGATAGGGTCACAGGTTATACATTTATGAGATACAGTTATTCAGTATTTATTTAGTTGTGGGTGAGTAAGTGGTTTTTAAGAAGAGTCTTGAACTGATAAACAGACAGTGTTTCTTTTATATTCACAGGTAATGAATTCCAGATTTTTGGGCCTTTTATGTGCATTGAGTTATTACATAGTGTGAGATGGACACGGGGAACATCAGACAGTGATCCGTGCCTTGTGTTATGGTCATGTGTTCTGTTGAGGTTGGTAAGGAGAAGTTTGAGGGGAGAGTTTATATCTGAGTTTAGTGTTCCATGTATGTGGTAGGCACAATAATAAGTATGGATGTTTTGTACGGTGAGTAAATTTAGAGTTTTGAATACTGGTGGAGTATGCTACCTGGAGTGGGAATTTGTTATCATTCTGACTGCAGCCTTTTGTTGGGTAATTAATGGTTTGAGATGATTTATTGTTGTTGAGCCCCATGCACAAATTCCATAGGTGAGATAAGGGTAAATGAGTGAGTGATATAGGGCCAGGAGGGCTGATTGTGGAACATGGTACCATATCTTCGATAGTATGCCTACTGTTTTGGAGATTTTCTTGGAAATTGTTGTACATGTTTGAAATTTGAGTCTATTATCAAGGTGGATTCCTAAGAATTTTCCCTCTGTGAGCTTTGTGATAGGTGATCCATTTACCATTATGTTATTTATCGTTATTGAGAGAGGTTGCCTTATGCTGGTGAAGAAGGGCTCAGATTAAACATGATTGTCCCCCATATGCTCTGTTAAACAGGTGCTGTGTGTCCCTTATGTTTTTTGTGCTTCCTGCTGACTACATAAACTGCACCATCTGAGAGGGATTAAGCCCATATTACAGAAACCCCCATCCTACTGTACTTCAACCCATGCCAGAGGCATAGCATGTAGTTGTATTTCAGCCCATGCCAGAAGCTTAGCTAGTACAGTAGCTGTAATTCAACCCACGCCAGAGGCCTAGCCAATAGCTGCACTTCAGCCCACGCCAGAGACGTAATTAGTAGCTGTACTTCAACCTATGCCCGAGGCCTAGCTAGTAGCCATATTCAACCCATGCCAAAGACCTAGCTAGTAGCTGTACCTCACAGCCCTCAAGAAATGAAGGAGCTATAAATCAAGATATAATCCAGCCGTCCCAAGTGTTTCAGACCTGAAAGATAACGTACATTTTTGCCACAGGACGATTTTTTTTAACTGGAAAATAAATTTGAACATAGAAAAATTGCTGTTCCAATGATGCTAAAGCCTATTTTACAACATAAGAACCTTAGAAAACTAAACAAACCTTATTATAATAAGCTCAATTTAATTTAGCCTAATCCAACTAAATATATTTTAGATAAGTTTACAATAATTTAATAAACAACAAAATTATTTTTTTCATTAGGTTCAGGATGATGTTTGCGAAATTATTGCAAACACAAATTTTGGCTTGCCTTATTCGGCAAGAAGAGCATTGCTATTTAAGCCAAAATCGCAAGTTATACCTATTCGACATGAGAGACACAAACACACACACACAACTGGCCGAGTAGCGGCCAGTTGAAGAGACAGGAAAAGGAGCTGTGAATCGACCCCTGCAACCACAACTAGGTGAGTACACTGAAATCGGTCTGACGGCACTGGAGGATAGGAGGGTCAGGGGAGACAAGGTGGACAGAAACAGGATGTTCCAGAGATGGGACACAGAAACAAGGGGTCACAATTGGAAGTTGAAGACTCAGTTGAGTCAAAGGAATGTTAGGAAGTATTTCTTCAGCAACAGAGTTGTTAGGAAGTGGAACAGTCTGGCAAGCGATATAGTGGAGGCAGGAACCATATACAGTTTTAAGACGGGGTATGATAAGGCTCATGGAGCAGGGAGAGGGAGGACCCAGTAGCGGCCAGTGAAGAGGCAGGGCCAGGAGCTGAGTCTCGACCCCTGCAACCACAGTTAGGTGAGTACGCACACACACGACCCTGCAATCTCAACTAGGTGAGTACACACACACATTATATATATATATATATAATATATATATATATATATATATATATATATATATATATATAATATATATATATATATTATATATATATATATATATATATATATATATATATATATATATATATATATATATATATATATATATATATATATATAAAGGTGAGTGGTGCGTTGAGGTATATGTGGAGTCAAAAAACGTTATCTATGGAGGCAAAGAAGGGAATGTATGAAAGTATAGTAGTACCAACACTCTTATATGGGTGTGAAGCTTGGGTGGTAAATGCAGCAGCGAGGAGACGGTTGGAGGCAGTGGAGATGTCCTGTTTAAAGGCAATGTGTGGTGTAAATATTATGCAGAAAATTCGGAGTGTGGAAATTAGGAAAAGGTGTGGAGTTAATAAAAGTATTAGTCAGAGGGCAGAAGTGGGATTGTTGAGGTGGTTTGGTCATTTAGAGAGAATGGATCAAAGTAGAATGACATGGAAAGCATATAAATCTATAGGGGAAGGAAGGCGGGGTAGGGGTCGTCCTCGAAAGGGTTGGAGAGAGGGGGTAAAGGAGGTTTTGTGGGCAAGGGGCTTGGATTTCCAGCAAGCGTGCGTGAGCGTGTTAGATAGGAGTGAATGGAGACGAATGGTACTTGGGACCTGACGATCTGTTGGAGTGTGAGCAAGGTAATATTTAGTGAAGGGATTCAGGGAAA